ACCCGTGGTGTTTTTTTTTATTTTATTTATTTATTTTTTTTATTTACAGTGTAGGCATTTTAAAATATAAAATAATGGGGGAATCTAAAAATTTTCACCTCGGCCATACCCAAATTTAAAAAAAAATCAAGTGGTCTACGATAGACACTGGAAGCGTGGGGTGAAACGTGATTTCGCCCCCATCCCTTCCAATCCCTTCAACATCGTCGAAGACTCTTACTTCGTAGGAGGTAGGCCTAAGTGTTGATTATATGACATATAATTTAATAAGAGGGACAATAAACAATCGGTAATCTGAGGAGGCCGGAATATACCAAAAGAATATCAACAAGTCCATAAAATATCACCAGCTCAGCATCTTGGTTGTTCCGGTCATAGATACCAAGTCGCCTACCATTGGTCACCCAGTCTGGCCAATCACAATGCATGAACTATAATCATACAATATCTTGACTAAAAAATACAGACATGTGTACTAATGATAATGTTTTACAGTGAAAAAAAGAAGTGATGCATTTTTGTAAAATGTGTCCCAGAAACTGAAATATGCGCCTAATTATAGATATAACTATTCTGTTGTTGTTGTTGTTGTTGTTGTAGATATGAGATCAATTTTGTACCCTCTTTTATTTCATGTTTTCACCTTTTCTGCCTTTTCTTTAATTTTCTTCCTTCTTTCGCGCGCTCCCTCCCTCCCCCTCTCTCTCTCTCTCTCTCTCTCTCTCTTTCCCTATCCCTATCTCTCTCTCGATCTATTTATTCTGCCGCCCCCTTAATTATTGGTCAAACCGGTAACAACGGCCCCCGGAAAACCACACGTGCAGTACGTTCCTGTGAAAAATCTCCTAATGTCCCATCAAAATTGACACCAGAAAAAACCCCTGTACTTTAGACCGTTGACTCTGTGAACGTGCATGGGCATTTTATCTTTGAATAATTCTGTTGACCATTAGCCTAATAATTATATGCTATACCCCCTTTTTTTCTCACAAAGCAATGTTACTATACCTTAGTGATAATGGGGCCTATATACACGTTTAATGACATTTCTTGCACAAAAGAAATCATCAAGAACTTTTTAGGGAGAGGGGGTTACTTTTTTGTTTTGATTACATGGATACGCATGGGCAGCAAAAGCGGAGTGGGGTGGGGGGGGGGGTGCGGGGGCTAAAGGTCCGTCTGCATTTCAGCACAACCGCTATAATTCAGATGATTAGAAATAAATGAAAGAAAAGAAAGACAGAGGAATGAAGAGAGGGAAGGGTAAAAGAGTGTTATCCAGTCCTGGAACGAGTTACATTTAGAGACGTTGGAGCCGGGTCGGGCATATAGTGCCCCCATACTTTTTCAAGCACCGTAAAAGTGCCCCTTTTCAATACTAAAAAGTAGCGGCAGATCCACGATTTGAAAATAGGGGGGTGGCGCAGCCAAAATTTGTCTGATATTAACATGTACGTTCAATGGGTGGTTTCCCCCAAAAAATAGGGGCGCATGCCTGCTGCGCCCCCTGGATCCGCCACTGAAAAGTGCCCAATTTCTTCCCAGAGAGAGCCCTTGTCTACCCATACTTAAAAGGAACTTTTTAGATTTCTTTAGAGAGTACGTGGCATTTACAATTTCACTAAAAAATAAGAGGCACTTTAAGAAGTGCCCCTTTTTACTACATGTATGTCTTTTCAAACTGCTCATGTGCACCTTAAAGCAACGATGAATAATGAAGTCTCTTTCAATATCCAATGTGTTCCACATGTGTCAGAATGAACTCATCATTTCGAGTCCATTTCGGGCCATAACCATAATTCTGACCCGTGGTTTTATTGTTTTTGTTTTTGTTTTTGTTTTATTTACAGTGTAGGCATTTTTAAATATAAAATAATGGGGGGATCTAAAAATTTTCACCTCGGCCATACCCAATTTTTTTTTTTAAATCAAGTGGTCTACGATAGACACTGGAAGTGGATGCTTGAATTGGGTGAAACGTGATTTCGCCCCCATCCCTTCCCATTCCTTCAACATCGTCGAAGACTCTTACTTCGTAGGAGGTAGGCCTAAGTGTTGATTATATGACATATAATTTAATAAGAGGGACAATAAACAATCGGTAATCTGAGGAGGCCGGAATATACCAAAAGAATATCAACAAGTCCATAAAATATCACCAGCTCAGCATCTTGGTTGTTCCGGTCATAGATACCAAGTCGTCTACCATTGGTCACTCAGTCTGGCCAATCACAATGCATGAGCTATAATCATACAATATCTTGACTAAAAAATACAGACATAGTGATAGTGACTAGTGATAAATGTTTAACAGTTATTAAAGAAGCGTTCCTCGTAGCTCAAAATCACTTTTGACATTTTGCACAGTGGACCATCCAGTGTTCTTCAAAATGACGTGTACTCTCAATCAATGTCCCAATTGATCTGAATATTCAGCTTTCGATACTGGTCAAGATTTTCTTTGTTGAAGGACTTTGACATTGGAGCTGAAGGTCTGGACTCATGCAACAATTTCTGAAATAGGTAAGTCTTCAAGATATACATCCGTTTGAAAGAATAATTTTCGTGTTTCTGATAGCAGGACTCGGATAGATCAGTGCATTGTAATAAAATGTTTGTTACTGCAGAAGAAGTAGAGCTTTGGTCGATTTGTGTAACTGATAGCTAACAATATACTATTATATAAGACAGGAGAGTGATGAACGGTTCTTACTTTTGAACATGTATAAACATAAGATGAACTCATGATATCTCGTGTTTAAAGTTCTCTTTGCGACATTCTCTTGAACTTGCTGATGTGAAAAAGTGTATCTATTTAGTCGTGCGCGCATGCCTTTTACAAAAAGAAGAGAGAAGAGAGGAGTATACTTATTTTCTTTCATTCTCAAGTATAAATCATCATTGTTACAAAGTACGAACCGAATTGAATTGAGCTCCCAAGATGTTTTGATACCAAGACGCATGCATGATGCTATTGCTTAAAGGTAATACAAAGTTGTGGTATGGGGTCATGAATTTGTTTCAAATAAACGTATTGGAAGCATATGCGATCCTACAATATTCAGTGATCGTTGTCGCGGTTGAAATCGACTCCAAAGTGATGAAATGTTGTATAGCTCCCTCTCAAGGTCAAAATATTAATTTAACTATTACACAATGTTTCTTTACTATAATCGACCAATTGGCTATTTCCGTTTGGAAATTATATATCACAACTACATATTCTCAGATTTTAATGGCCGCAGCTATACGATTGTATGGCCGTAGGCGCTATTTGCAATTTATCAAAATTTACCGGGAGCACCGGGAAATTTTTATATTCAATTTTTCTCGAAAACAGAAATGTTTTAGGGGTTAATTTTTTTAGTGCTTATAATACATCCACAGAGGCATCCAAATATATCAAAATTGTAAAAATTCACTATCCACCCAATTTTCAAAATTTCCAAAAACTTTGTATTACCTTTAATGTAACATTAAAACAGCCGCTGCGCATATATTAATTAAATCTGAAGAGGTGATCGATGGACTTGGTTAACGGGGGGGGGGGGGGGGATATAAATGTTCAGATTTTGTACACCCCAGGCAATTTTGTATGAAGAGGCCGATTAAAATATCTCGGTGAAAGGGGGGGGGGGGTTGTGGTACGTTACAATTTTAGATCGTCCATTATAGGGATGTATACTGTAGTAAACTGAGAACATATAATTAATTTGATTAAGTATTAATCTATATTTTTGTTATGTTTTGCATGAACATTGATTTTAATGATAATCCCAAAATGCGGATTTTAATTGGTTCAATAAATTTATTGGATTTGATTTGATTCAATTTCCATTTCCCCCCTCCGCCCCTCCCCAATAAAAAGCATACATGCTCTGGTGGGACCCGGCCGGATCTCTGGTCATTTTCCCCACCATTTTTCTTCAAACATATTGAGCCGGGGGGGGGGGGGTCCAGGCACCTGAGAACATTAGGCCTAAATGTTTCGTGTTTGGAATTGTCTATATTTTTTATCAAAGTGTCATATAAAGACCTAAAACGTACATATAACTTAGAACAATATTTAACATTAGACAATAAAAAGGTAAACGCTAAGAACTTTCTAAAGATAAGAATAAGTAATGGTACATGTAGATTAATGATTGAACAAGGGATCCGAGGCACAAACGACTGTACACGTGTATGTCCCACCTGTCCTCTGGAAACAGTTTCACTGTTTCACTTTATTGTGAGATGTCGCCCATCTTTCAATAACCATCGCAAAAAAAAAAAAAAATTAATACAGATCATGCAATAGTACCCTCCTTTTTTGAAAATAGCTTGGGAGGCTGCATATATATTTCATCATGTATTTTTTTTGTTATGTTAATTCTGCTTATTATACTATGATACTGTTTTTCGCTTAAGCATAACTGCTTTTTGATTAAGTATTAATTTATATTTTGTTATGTTTTGCTTGAACATTGATTTTAATGATAATCCGAAAATTCGGATGTTGGTTCAATAAATTTATTGTATTTGATTTGATTTGATTTCCATTCGCCCCCTCCGCCCCCCCCCCCCCACAAAAAAAGAGCATACACGCTCTGGTGGAGGCAATATAAAAACGTTTATAATACATCCTACGTCTTAACCCTTACTGCACCGGGGGCCTCCGAGCCCTTCCCCAACACATTTTTGCAGCGCAATAATGAACGCAGCATTTTCAGAAAGGCCACTTCACGACTATCTTCGTAACTGATCTTTTGACATCTAGTTGTTTTAAAGGGCAACCGAAATTTGAGATTTTTGTCATTTTTTGTATAAAAACAAAATCAGTAATGTTTCACTCTTTAGACTTGATTTATCATTGAAAATTGATCTAGATAATGACCTTTAGTATCAAAAGTCCTAAAACAAAGCAAATACATAAATAAAAATAATAGAATCATAAGAATTTCATAAAACAATGAAATTATAACGCATAATAATCAAAATAGACATGGACAACTTTTCTATCTGGTAATAACCAATAAGATTTTAAGAAACTTTTTGCCAAGAAATAAACTCTGTTAAAGCTTTATTTATGTCAATATTAATAAAAACATAATTTATTAATATAATTTGCATAAATTAGCATAATTGATGAAATAAGCAATTTCCAGAAAAAATAATATAATGGCGTGATCTCTTCCTTTGCGCACTTTTTGATTCACGTGCCCAGTTTCGTGGCGAAATTAGGGGAGGGGACCTTTGAGGCCCACCTCCCCCCCCCCCCAACCCCAGTACGAAGCTCAAAATAGCCCGGTTCAGGAAGGGTTTAAATGAAAAGTCTTGCTTTCTTCCAATTTGGATCAAAATTAATTAAGCTATAGCACATCATATCAAATTCAACATCATACTTTTAATTACATGTTAATTTTGAGGTCAGTTAATTTCATGAGTTCCCTATACTATAGCAGACATACATGTATGTTTTTAAAACTATTTTTCAACAATTAGAGGATGAAATTGTTATATTCCTTTGTCAAAACCAGAAAATTTTAGGCGATTGCGTAATAAAATGGATAGTGGCTGGCAATGGAATGAACCATTAGTGAAGTGATCTTCAAAGCATAAATAATGCACAAATTAAATTGAGCAGATTTAATATTCATGTTGAATGAATTTAATCAACACTTCATGTACCACAAGTACTTTTAAATAGGAAACGACAACAAGTATATTATAAAATATTAACTGAATACATTTCCTGAAATTAATTTTCCAAAATATAGGTAATTTATAAATATATACTTAAACAGATATTTTTCATATTGGCACAATCATGCTTCAATGTTGTTGATTTCTCTTGTCTAGTTTGTACAACACTCAAACTATTATTACATTTTCTTCAATTAGCCTAACTTAACCAAAAGCCATAACACAAGAAAATGGCTGCAGGTAAATTATTACAACAACAAAACAAAAAATAGCTCAAAATAATTTCTCAAAAATAGGTGAACATCCCGGGGCAAAATTTTAGGTATTATTTACCCTCATGGATGTATTAATGTGGAACATCTCAAGTATTGCTCCTTCCTCTTTTACCCAATTAAACTGCATTATTGTTTTGGACACATTGTTTTGGACCTCATGTTGGCCCCCCAAAATAGATTATGTACAAAACATTCTAGACTTTTTTTCTAAATAAGTAGTAATTACTCTTTTCCCCAGTTATGACCAATAATATGATGACCGATATGAAATAGTCAATACAAAAACAAAACAAAATCAAATATTGAGATTTCGAAAACTTGAATACATTTAAATCAAAATTACTATAGTCCATTTACTTTTGCATAAATGTTTATATATTCTTTAAATATCGAATATGTCTCACAATCTTATTTACAAATGAAATAAAATAATGTGCCTCATAGATGGTGCAATATTATTATTAGATGTTTAATAATAAATATGACATAATTGCCATGAATTTTTTTTACCCAGTACGAGATTTAAATATGCTGTTAGTCTAATGACTACAATTATTTTACAGATTGGTCCTTTAAGGCCAAAATTGACATTTCAGATACCCTTGTGTTCAAATTACCGCTTTTCATTGATTGCCTCATAACACTGCCAATCGTGTCTTTTAAGTCTTTTCTAAATCTACATGTAGCTCATCTTCTATTTTATCAATATACGTTTGTGAAATTAAAAAAAAAATCATACCAAAATTGATTACATATGAAATGAAAATAATGTAATACACAAGAAAATAACAAAGAAATAAATTACCCCCCCCCCCCATTCAATATTTTTAACTAAGCTCAGAATCTTTGAATATGACATTGACCTCCATATTTCCTTAAATAATGCATTAAATAATGCATTAAATATGCATTAAAATTGCATGAAGTAGAATAAAATAATAAATAAGCTACCTATGTGTCTACAAAAACAAGGCGGTTGAAACTTGCAGGTAAAACTTTAACCTCAAATGACCTTAGACCCTACTTTTGACTTTCACCCCAACAACATTTGAAGGTCCCATTAGTGTATTTACCACCTGAGTTTAGTTGAAATCGGTCCTATGGCTGCAAAGTTATTAGAGTTTATTTATAGTTAAGGACGGACAGAGAACTCTTAACCTACCTCCACCTTCAGCGGGCTCAACCAAAAACATGCAACAGAATTCTTTGCGAATGTTTCGACATGTACTACATGTAGTATATAGAAGCAAATTTTCTCGCAAATGGACCAGCTATTACATGTAGCCAAGATATTGGAGGGGGTGGGGGGATGGGGTGGTTACTGAACCATAATTATTTCAAGACTTGGGGGGGGGGGGATAGTTATTCTGTCAGTTGAAATTTAAATTGCAACACAATATACAGTGGAAACTCTATATAAGAGTTCTGATACAGTCCACTCCTGTTATAAAGAGCGCTTATACAACAAGATTTTGTTATAACGAGGGAATTCTCCCGGTCCAAATTTCAAACATGTGCATATATGTGTGTGTGTGTTCAGTAGAACAAGATTTTGTTATAACAAGTTAATTGGCTTGGTCCCAAGCATCTCGGTATGACGGGAGTTGACTGTATAAAAAGCTATTTCTCCAGTCACAATGAGATCAATTTGTTTTGTTTTGTTTTCTTTATTGACTACTGATAACAAACAAAATCTTTCGGTGCCACGAACCTCGTAATAAAGAGATTTCACTGTATAGTTTAAATTATATTTCTTAAATGGTTTACTAGCAATAATTCAAAATATCACATTTCATCGGAAATATACCACACCCCTTCATTAAAAAAATGGTTAGAACTTAGAAGACCAAAGTCAATATCTTATTAACCCATTAACAACGGGAACCGGACGCTTCCTGTTTTAAACCTATGGGAATGGGATAATTCAGTTGTCAACGGGTTAATTGCACATGACATTCATATACCATTTTTTTTTTACATCTAGATGTTCTGCATTTGTTGTCCTACTAAATTGGAGGCCTTATAAGTACGGTAAACACAACACTAATCCAGTAAAACTATTAAAACTAAATATAATGTTTATAGAGAACACATCCTAAACATGTTAAATCCCAAATATGTTTGGATAAACATTTCAAAAGGGTCTTCTTGAAGAATATAGTAATACATATATTCCATATTGTAAATTGTTCAAATATGAATAGAACCATTGTATCTTCTAACTAGATATAAATATATATATTATAGGTTTGACTTGTGTATTTTCTACAGTTATCAATCAACTACATGTACATAACATTGTTGTTATGCACATTAATGATTCAATGATAATGAGATTTAATGAACAGAGCATACATGTGTACATGTACCTCAAAATTGCCAGGGCCATTTGTTGGCTCATTTTACTTAATGTACCCTCCCTGGTCATATTATTGCAACATAGCTAAAATACGTGCGATTTTGATTTTACAAGCCTTTCTGTATATTGTTATATTACATTCATAACCATAGTGTTGTCGACCATTTTTGTATATTGTGAAGACGGAAGACTTGTCCCTTTTCATTCCTGAGAGCAGAAGATTACCAGACCCTGTCATTTCTGAAACAAAGGGAAAGACAAAAAAACAAAGGCAAACAAATTAAATTTTGGGAGGGGGGGGGGGGGGGGTTATCAGTGAACAAAATCATGAAACTGTTTCATATTTCTCCCAAAACTGTTTACAGGCTTCGTTTATACTTTTGGCAAAGACATAATGGCCATAAGGTACCAATACAAGGGCAACACCCAGAGAAGAAAGATTTCTTTGTGCCGTAGCTAAGGAGGATGCGTGCCAAAATCAGAGGTCGTGATTATCCAGCAAAATATAATAAATGTGTGAAAAATTCACCTAATGCAGTAAATTACAATATATTCACCACAAGAAACTGACTATAATTTGATATATCAGTGGAATAAAGTTGCATTTAAACGTCTTTGCAATACAGGACTAAATCCTCCTTGGCAACGGCACAAATAAATTTTAAAATCTTTCCTTATGTCTTTCTTTGTTTTGTTTTCTTTCCATCTGCTCCTTTTCAATTTTCTTATGGACATGCGTTTTGAACTCACCCCCTTTTGTGTTACGCCACCTAAATCTAAAAATCGTGCACCTATCAGATCAAAGTGTTCTTAACTCTAACCCTATAAGCGGATCCCCCCCCCTTTCCCGAAATTGAGCCTTTTTATTTTGTCGCTCACATAATTATGTCAATAACATTAACATAAAGCAACTGGGGGCATCTTAAAAGATAGCACCTAAAACAAGATTGTTTGATTTACTCGCTAATCGTAGATTGTGTTCAAGTATTGTAATTTTTGTTTATAATTTTTGCTACTAATGGTCTCAATGTTACCACCTAATATGCTTACATCGAGAAATACATTAGAACTGTTAAGTTTATAAACTACGATATAAGATATAACAAGAAACTGTATGTAAATGAAATTAAATGATAAAAAATTCTGCAATAATAAATTAATTCACCCATGCAATTTTCATGAAAATAGATGTAATGCGCAGTTTGTGTCCTTAAGCATTGAAACCAGTCCAATAAATGTTGCTCGCTTGCTTTGACGACTACTCCACTATAAAAAAAAAAAAAAAATACATAGATTTACGTAAAGACAAACGATATTATAATCAAATATAGTCAGGAGTGAGGGATATGTCTCAGAATGTTAAAGGGAAATCAATATTTCATTGCAAGATTGCTTACTTTGGGGGGGGGGGGAGGGATCAAAGAATCACATCTTCAGTGAAAGTTTAAGAATAAATTTATAAATATAAAGAAAGGTATGATAATTTGAAAGTTGCTATCAAAGATGATAGAAAATCTCCTATTGGTAATGCGGTCCATCTGTGTGATGACATACATGGAGAACTTTTCCCATATGGTGGACAAAAATATGTTCAAAACTTTATTTCCACCCCATTCCAATGATAGATGAGACGTTGAGTGTGTAACTTGTTTTTACATGACCTCCCGTTAAAATAATCTGTTCCACTATTATAATAGAGAAATGACTTATTTCAGTAAAGTGTTTACCAACAAAATGGGAAAGATAGTGACACCACACATCATGGTTGCATTAGCAATGGGAGAATTCCTCATTAGTGATTCTAAATTTCAAAAAATCATATCTTTCCCATTGACGTCTGATATTTCTGAAACATTGCCCCAATTTTTTTTTTTAATATTCTGCAGTCTTACAATAAAATTTTCTCTGAAAAGTTAATTCCCTTTGTCTTTTGTAGGTTTGCCTTTGGTACATATTTTCTAAAAGAAATTGTCTTTGTTGCCCCTTAATTTGATAAATCCTTGGGGAAATAAAATATATTTTAGTTAAGAATGTAGGATCTGATCAGAGGCGGGAGCTTTTTTTGTATTCAAACTCTCATTTGTTTTGATGGATTCTTGTAGGTAACCATAATATGTGGGATAAATCAAGGCAAATAGCAGCAAACAGTTATGGATGGGGAGGGGTGGAGGCAATTTCCTATGCTCCCAACATCAATACTCATGATTTAATATGCCGCAGAATATAACAGAGAGAAAGATTTAAATTTTTATTCAGTATTTACTTTGATAATACCTCAACATTTTTTTTCCTCAACATGTTTGCAATACAGTTAGTACAGGGGGGTGTTTCACCAAGTCGTTCGTAAAGTTACAAACGACTTTACGAATGACTGGAACATGTTCTTGGGTGCTATACTAATCACATTCTTAATCATTTAGCACAAGAACTGATCACCAGTTGTTCGTAAAGTCATGCGTAAATTTGAATTATGAACGACTTGGTGAAACACCCCCTGGTACATGTACATGTATGAGAAAATACTAAGGAAAATGCAATAAACAAATAAATAATATAGTGTGCCCGGCAAAAGGGTGTGAACAGAAATATGGGTCGATAATTTTAATTATTAATTTTGTGATAAAATGATAGAGAAATGATCTTTCACATGATATGATTCATGGTCCTGGGAGTAAAATCATTATAACATTATAGTTCAATTTGGATTAGATATTTCGTTCCCCTGTCATTTTTATCAAAAATTAAAGAAAAAAAAAAAATGGCCCAAATTTGTGTTCGCACCCTTCTCCCGGCACACAACGAAAATTACGATTTCAATGCTAATCTATAACATAAAATAGGAAATACAAATAAAAGAGGGCAGCTAGATCCTTGAAGTAAAGCTTTGCCTGAGGAACTTAATCTTTACTAAAAATAAGGAATCACGTTCTCACCAGTAGCAAACAATGTGTAATAGTATTTATCAAAAGTTAAAAAGAGCCCTTTTTGTTTGGGGGTACGAGAAACGCGGAAGGGGAGGGGTTACTACGATTCCTGTCATCCCTGACCACCTCCTCTCATTACAAAATATTTCTGCTGTCGGGCCAGCTTTGAATTTATCAATATTTTTTAGGCACTTTTAGTACATTGTCATGGTCAAGACTATATCAAGCGAAGGAAGGGGGGCAATAGTCAATTAATATGGGAAGGGGGAGGGTAAACTGCCCATTTCTATAATATATTTCAAATATCATTATATATAATGGGCACACCACATGGGAAAATAGGAATAAAGTAACTTCTTAATTTCGCTCTATACTCAGTTTTAGAATTATGGACATCACGTCCCATATCACTTAAAATGTTCAGTTTATAATGGGCTACGATTTAGCGATATAATAGGGAAAATGCTAAGAACCTGTATTTTTCTCTATATAATAAAAATCAAATGTATATATAATTGTAGATGATTTAATATTTTTTTATTTGATACAAGTCAGGTTGATTTGAGGTTTAATCTGAAAGTCATTTTGTTACATTTAAAAACACCAACATGTCCCCAATATAGTATTACACATACTTGTACGGAGCTTATATTGTTACTAGTATATTGCAAAAATGTTGTTTTTGTTGAAATCAAGTTCACGATTTTAGGATGCTCCAACAGTTTGGTTAAATAAGATACAAACCTGTAATTTTCACAGGATGTTGTGCATATAATTGGACAATTTTCTAAACAGTTGCAAATGAAATTTCACTTCTGAGTTTTGATATATGCAAAGTATGAAATTTGATTACATTCAAATTTTTGAAAACAATGAGCAAAAATTAATTTTTTCACTCAAAATGTTTATTTTGAGCCCTCTGAATTCCATCAAACTAGGTATCATTGTGTACACAATTTAATACTTTTAAATAATACTAAATTTTAGGTGATTTGATGTATTAGGACGCCCCCTTCTATTTTGAGGTGACCGCTACAAATTTATAAGAGCACACATCTGAAATACTGTTTCCGATGATATTATCTTTCCAAACATCAAGGTGTGCATAGTTTGTACAGAATCCTCTTTTCTGACTTTGGCCCTCTGCTTATTTAAAAAATGACATGCAAAATAAGGTAGGGTGAGATGGTAACATCTTATGAGGGAAAATAGTTGATTTTTGAGGGCCCCAATTTTTTTAAAATTTTGAGCCCCCATATCTTTCCTCCCTGAAACTTCCTTTCATAAGATATATAATTATAGGGGGTTCCTTCATTTCATAATTTCAATTTTTCTTATGTGTACAACAAATGGGGTCGCTCCCATAGATTTTGGGTGTACCACTTCCCCCCACCCCCTCAACCACCCTCATCATTTTTAATTCTATAGGAATTTCAAGTGCTAATGAGCTCATATTTATAGGCATGATAGAGTTTTTATTCAGTTTTCAAATGATACCAATTTGATGACAATACTCAGCCTAGATATAAACACAATGACATTTGAAAAAGCCACCCATTTTGGGTGGTGAGTTCAAAATGCATGACCGTATGCATTTCTTTGTTCTTTTCTCTTCTCTTTACCTTCTCCTTTTTTTTTTTTAATGCTTTGTGTTCCCCCGTTTCCATCTTCTTCTATTAATAATTATGTGCACACCTTGTGTATTCTTTTTTTTTTTTTTAGTTTTTTTTTTTTTTGTGTTTGTTACTCGGGTTAGTGGTTTGGAGTGAGAACAGCGTGGATTTCCTTAGCCGGGGTTAGGCAGATAACAATGCCAGTGAGAAAAGGAAAAATAAATAGTACAGGGCTAAGGATAGTCCGGGCTAAGAAAACACAATGAGAAAAGGGTAGGAGTCATAATAAATCATTACCATGGGTTACAGTGTACTACATTGTATCAACCTTCATCTGTGATACACATTGGTATTAGGGAAGGGCTTTTCTTAATAGTAATTATTTATATATATATAGAAGACATCTATTTTTCCAAATGTGAAAACATTATTACATACAAATAGCTTTATTTTAAAATGATTATAGAGGGCCATTCCACGGTAACTCGTGTTACAAATAATGGGTACATTTCAAGATTATGGGTCGATATCTTTAAAATTGTTAAGATCTACAAGTTACTTTTTTCACTATATGATGACATAAATGGTACACTGGGGTACCAACTAAAAAATCACCATTATTGTTGAATTATTTAATTTTTTTCAGCGCTGTACCCTGGGTTACCAAAAAATGCGTAAAATTGATTTTTAGAGTTTTATGCAAGAAGATTTTTTCTCGTTAGTGATCTTATGCAACAATTAATGTATGCAAATAATAACTTTATTCTAATTTACATGTTCTGTACTAATTATTGATCTTGTGACTTTGAATGTAAAATGTCATTGCAACTTTGAAACTATACCGTAGCGGACAATTTATTCATGTATTTATTGTGCTACATTATATGATTTTGCAGATTTTCTATAAAAATTTTGTATAAAATAAAATAAATAAATAAATTTTTAAAAAAATTAGGAGAGGGCACTTCACAGAACCGTACCCCGGGTTATTACCATACACCGGGTACTGCGTTGTGCATCATATGTAGCATAGACATAGACTGATTAAATGAATCAAAAAACAAAACAACAAAGGTCAAGCTTGTTCAGATTCTTGACTCGTTTAATTTCGGTAACTCACATTACGAAAAAAGGACATGGTCAATTTCATGAAAGCCTGTTGTGACGAAGTCTCCTCATACTAGACAATGTTGACACAACTTTTCCTATCTTGAAATGATATTAGGTTATGTCTAATAGATCGACTATATCATAGTGGAGAAACAATGGACTGGTAAAATACAGGGAGCATTAATGTTGGTAACTCGTGTTACTGTATGTGCGACCCTTCATATACCAGATTTTTGTATCTTTTCCACGTCTTCAGTTTGAATTTTATTGTTTATATATGTGTGACTTCATGTTCTTCAGATTATCCAATTGAAAAAAAATTACGAAAGAAATCCTTGTTTTCTGTCACTCTAAAAAACTGCTTAAAACTGAGTGTAGTCCCACATGTTTCAATCTATATATAGTACGGATTCTCCAACAAGGACATTAAATTTTAAGGTAAAATAAAAGCAGTCTGCATTCCTCAATGCACTGATAATTTCAGATGAATTTGAACCCAAAACATAACCTGAATTTCAGATAAACCAAAAAGAAAGAAAAACTAGAAATTTAATTCGTCACGAAGACGAATAAGGTGGTCTGTCTTCAAGTCTTATGATAGATTAAAATAGTTACTGTATTGAGAAAGGGAGAAGTTATAAAGACATGTAAACAATGATCATGATGATGATGATGATCTTGATAGTAATGGTGATGACGATAATGATGATGATGATGATCATGATGATGTTGATGATTATCATCAACAGACCATGATGACATCAGACTGAACAAAATGAGAGAACATTTAGATAGTATAAAGTCTCAGCTACAACACACTCAAAAATCAACAAAAATCAAGCTGAAATAACGGCGATATTGCTCGCAAAAGACAAGAATGTAGAATCCAGATTTGAGAAAAAGTCATCTCCCATAAGGATTACACGCAAAAAGTAATGGATCAAGTGATAATAGGGTAATAATAAAGTAAATATGGTTGTTTATTACATTATTTGCGATTGTACGTGTTTTAATATTCAAAGGAGATGGTACAGTGAAAGGTCAAAAAGAAAAAAAAGTTTTAAAAAAAAATTGTTGGAGACGCCCGGACTCGAACCAGGGACCTCGAGGTCGGAAGTCAAGTGCGTTACCGATATACCAAAACATTTCCCATAGAGATTACACGTAAACGGAAAATGGAATTATCAAATCCCACTTTGTAAGTGAAATATGAGCATGATCCCGGCATCTGATCGAAAAATAAAGGGCACACTTGTGATAGCTTATTGTCTCAGCTACAACATACTCAAAGCTCAGCGTAAACAAAGATAAAACAACGGAGATATGGCTCGCGAAAGACCAGAATGTAGAATCCAGTTTTGAGAAAAAGTCATGTCCCATAGAGAATACACGCAAAATGTGAAAAATTGACATGCCTCCTTTAATCGCAAAAATACGCCATGATACCATTGTCAAAATGAAATAGCGTGTCGACTGCATTTGTAGAAAATATTCTCAGGTAGAACATATCCAAATTTGAAAGAAAATTGATCAATATTTACAGAGATACAATCAATTTTCCAAAAATCTGCTGACGTCATAATATGCAAATTGAAATTTTGAGTTTGGAGGCCATTATGATGACGTCATGAGTTAATTGAGGGTCAAATGACACATGAAATCATATCTCCAACTCATGCTTCTTCCAACCATGATATAAAAAATGGGAACAATTGATTATCTGAAGAGCTATTTTGATTTTTAAAATGTCATGTTTTTGATCAAATTTGCATTATATTGCCCATAGCAGCACGCGCGGATTTTGAACTTTGACGCGCGATCACGGCCTTTTGAAAGGTCAAGGGTGACTGAAATTAATGTAAATTGTCATTTACGGTAAGAGGAATCTAAATCATGTAAACAATTTGAATTTGACCTTTTCCGCGCGTTATGAGCGCGCGCAACGCGCGCGGTGACACTTACGGACGGAAAATTTTGAAATGCTTAAAATGACCTGATTCGTACTCTCCTTTAATAGTTAAGTGATTTTGAGCATTTTAAAATTTTGACGCGCACGTACGCGCGCGTCATGACCTTTATGTGACCTTTGATGACATGACCTTTTGACCCTTGACCTGAAATATATGTGATATGGATATGAATGACCTTTGCTTATGCATCATGAAGATATGATGGATAACGTGATTTCACAAAATGGCGCCTGGATGACGTCACGATGACGTGATGACCTTGAAAAGGTTCCTGTCACGTCTCATGACAATGACCTATGACTGTGCCAAAATTGAATGAAATTGACGAAATCGAACTTGAGTTATCCTAGGCACAAAAAAGTGTAGGAAATAAATAAAAATAAAGAATAATAATAAAGAAAGAAAATTCTGACGAAAACAATAGGTGATCTGTCGTTGACAGACCACCTAAAAAGAAGAAATGTCCACCATCCCGTGGTATAGGTAGAAATATAATAAAACTTACTTTACATGAGTTTGTCTCATTCAACTTTCCAATTTGCTTATAGGCCCCTATCCGTGTAATTCAATCAAATTCAAATTTCTTAAAGCATCACTATATATATGTTTATATATAACTGTTTCGTGTAAATTATGTTTTTTGATAATTTTAAATGCTGACAGATTTTTCATACATTTCAATCTCACAACCGTTCAGATTACGCTATGTCAGACATGTCCTAGCAGTCAGATCTGTGACCTTTGACCTATTATTCAAATTTTTTGACAGATTTTCTGCCCATAGAGATACGTGTTACCAACAAGTTTGAACTTCATATCTCAACTGGTTCTTGAGATTTCGGGCCCGCACCGCAGTGTATTGCACAAGTCAACCTCTGTGTCCATTGAACTTTGACCTTGTTATCTCAAATCTAATCATACAGATGATCTTCCTACGGTGATATACATGTACACTATCATCAAGTTTGAACTTCATATCTCAAGCGATGGCAGAGGCATACAAATAGCATTATAGAAATTGTTATTGCTTGTATATTAATTAGTTTGCTTTTTTAGTTTTTTAGATATGATCTCTACAACTAGATAATTTCCAATATAAATACAACACAAAAAGTAAGTTCCCGCTAAAACAAACATCGTTAATTTTTTAAGCAGGAGGAGTTGAAAAAATGGTTCAGTAAGCAAAAGGCAAAAATGTCACTTTTGAAGTTTACTGGCCTAATGACATAACTTTGATTCAATGATATTGGAACAAATTTCAGGTTTTCAACATAAGATGTGTCAGAAGGCATGTAAACATGTACTTCCAAACACACAAAATGACTTTTGCGCCAAATTTCAGTTGAGTGAGCACGGGTGAAAATTGCAGTTTATACATCTTTTTTCCACTGTTAATTTAGATCAAATATGATGGAATTAATGTTTTGGGATAGTGTTCTTGACCTTTGCAAACAATATCCATTAATTTACGGTTGAATGAACACATACTAAAAACAAAAAAAAGATCATGTTAAAATTATGAAGCAAGTATTGTTTTCATTTTGTGCACTAAAAATCATCCAAACAAAATTTTTTTGGGTATGTTTATGACCGGTGGACATTTGTAAACAATCCTATGGCATTTAATTCAGAATTCATGCTTCAATGAGCACGTGGGACTGGAAAATCTCTTTTTTTACTTATAACTAAAATTCAATTGCTTACTTTCGTTAACTATCATAATTCTTCTCGGGGAGTTCGTCTGATTTTATTTCTATGGAAATCCTGATGTCTTAAGATATTAGCATATTATGTAAATGAGAAGAAAGTTTAGGCCTTTGTCATCGCTCCGTAGTGTATCAGATACGTAATTTGGCATATGCTCCTATTAGTTAGTAACCTCCTGAAGATTTGTGCCAAGTTTCATGAAATAACTCACAGTAAAATGAACAAAAGTCATCAATGAAAATAGGCCAAATTTATCTTTTGTTAAATATTGATTTCCTCCCCCAATTACTTTATTTACAGAGGTTAATTATATTTTTTAACTCCTGGTTAAAAATTATTGATGTTTTTTTTTTAGGAAACTTACTTTTTGTATTGTGTTTAGTTTCCTTCCTCTCTTCATGTGATACAAAAGACATTTGAGAATCTTTAGAATTTGATGATTTTGTTTGTTCTCTCCATACTTATTATAAAGGTTCCTACTTCCAAGACATCACTACTCTTCACAGGAATAAACTCACTGTCTATGCAGTCAATACAAGTCCAGGAACATCAACTGATGGAAGTCCTCTAAGCTAGGTTGCTTGCAAGACAGGAGCACACTCAGCTGCAACTTCATTGAAGGAGAAGGTTCTTGGTATTGCCAGTACATCACCAAGCCCACAGCTAAAAAAGGTATTATATTAATAAATCAGGATCAATAAGAAGTCCTTCTTTATCTCATTGTTAAACTCTTCTAGGATAATTTCTTCAAGATGATGCACTTGGTTTGAGCTTTTCAAAAAGAAGTTGGAGATAAAACTTAACTTATCATTTAGACGATTCCCATTGTCATTTCTTTCTTCTCTTAATTGATCAATGCAATATCACGATTAACTTGGTGCATCTACCTCAAACATATTGTTTATTAATTTCTTATTAAGATAATCTGTACAACTCGGTAATTTCCAATCTAGTTTCCTTCCTCTCTTCGTGAAATACAAAATTAAAATTTGATTGACATAACATAAAATTTAGATTCTTTCATGTACAACAAATCCAATGATTTGTCTTCCTTCAATTTCTAATTGTTTAAGAATCTTTAGAATTTGATGATTTTGTTTGTTTTCTCCATACTTATTATAAAGGTTCGAACTTCCAAGACATCACTTCTCTTCACTAGAATCAACTCACTGTCTATGCAGTCAATACAAGTCCAGGAACATCAACTGATGGAAGTCCTCTAAGCTAGGTTTCTTGCAAGACAGGAGCACACTCAGCTGCAACTTCATGGAAGGAGAAGGTTCTTGGTATTGCCAGTATATCTAGGAGGAGCCCACAGCTAAAAAAGGTATTATATTAATAAATCAGGATCAATAAGAAATCATTCTTTATCTCATTGTTAAACTCTTCTAGGATAATTTCTTCAAGATGATGCACTTGGTTAGAGCTTTTCAAAAAGAAATTGGAGATAAAACTTAACTTATCATTTAGACGATTCCCATTGTCATATCTTTCTTCTCTTAATTAATCAATGCAATATCACGATTAACTTGGTGCATCTACCTCAAACATATTGTTTATTAATTTTTTATTAAGATAATCTGTACAACTCGGTAATTTCCAATCTAGTTTCCTTCCTCTCTTCGTGAAATACAAAATTATAATTTGATTGACATAACATAAAATTTAGATTCTTTCATGTACGACAAATCCAATGATTTGTCTTCCTTCAATTTCTAATTGTTTAAGAATCTTTAGAATTTGATGATTTTGTTTGTTTTCTCCATACTTATTATAAAGGTTCGAACTTCCAAGACATCACTTCTCTTCACTGGAATCAACTCACTGTCTATGCAGTCAATACAAGTCCAGGAACATCAACTGATGGAAGTCCTCTAAGCTAGGTTGCTTGCAAGACAGGAGCACACTCAGTTGCAACTTCATTGAAGGAGAAGGTTCTTGGTATTGCCAGTACATCACCAAGCCCACAGCTAAAAAAGGTATTATATTAATAAATCAGGATCAATAAGAAATCATTCTTTATCTCATTGTTAAACTCTTCTAGGATAATTTCTTCAATATGATGCACTTGGTTTGAGCTTTTCAAAAAGAAGTTGGAGATAAAACTTAACTTATCATTTAGACGATTCCCATTGTCATATCTTTCTTCTCTTAATTGATCAATGCAATATCACGATTAACTTGGTGCATCTACCTCAAACATATTGTTTATTAATTTTTTATTAAGATAATCTCTACAACTCGGTAATTTCCAATCTAGTTTCCTTCCTCTCTTCGTGAAATACAAAATTAAAATTTGATTGACATAACATAAAATTTAGATTCTTTCATGTACAACAAATCCAATGATTTGTCTTCCTTCAATTTCTAATTGTTTAAGAATCTTTAGAATTTGATGATTTTGTTTGTTTTCTCCATACTTATTATAAAGGTTCGAACTTCCAAGACATCACTTCTCTTCACTGGAATCAACTCACTGTCTACGCAGTCAATACAAGTCCAGGAACATCAACTGATGGAAGTCCTCTAAGCTAGGTTTCTTGCAAGACAGGAGCACACTCAGCTGCAACTTCATGGAAGGAGAAGGTTCTTGGTATTGCCAGTACATCTAGGAGGAGCCCACAGCTAAAAAAGGTATTATATTAATAAATCAGGATCAATAAGAAATCATTCTTTATCTCATTATTAAACTCTTCTAGGATAATTTCTTCAAGATGATGCACTTGGTTAGAGCTTTTCAAAAAGAAATTGGAGATAAAACTTAACTTATCATTTAGACCATTCCCATTGTCATTTCTTTCTTCTCTTAATTGATCGATGCGATATCACGATTAACTTTGTGCATCTACATGTACCTCAAACATATTGTTTATTAATTTCTTATTAAGATAATCTCTACAACTAGGTAATTCCCAATATAGTTTCCTTCCTCTCTTCGTGAGATAAAAAAATTAAAATTTGATTCACACAACATAAAATTTAAATTCTTTCATGCACATCAAATCCAATGATTTGTCTTCCTTCAATTTCTAATTGTTTAAGAATCTTTAGAATTTGATGATTTTGTTTGTTTTCTCCATACTTATTATAAAGGTTTGAACATCACTTCTCTTCACTGGAATCAACTCACTGTCTACGCAGTCAATACAAGTCCAGGAACATCAACTGATGGAAGTCCTCTAAGCTAGGTTTCTTGCAAGACAGGAGCACACTCAGCTGCAACTTCATGGAAGGAGAAGGTTCTTGGTATTGCCAGTACATCTAGGAGGAGCCCACAGCTAAAAAAGGTATTATATTAATAAATCAGGATCAATAAGAAATCATTCTTTATCTCATTATTAAACTCTTCTAGGATAATTTCTTCAAGATGATGCACTTGGTTTGAGCTTTTCAAAAAGAAGTTGGAGATAAAACTTAACTTATCATTTAGACGATTCCCATTGTCATATCTTTCTTCTCTTAATTGATCAATGCAATATCACGATTAACTTGGTGCATCTACCTCAAACATATTGTTTATTAATTTTTTATTAAGATAATCTGTACAACTCGGTAATTTCCAATCTAGTTTCCTTCCTCTCTTCGTGAAATACAAAATTATAATTTGATTGACATAACATAAAATTTAGATTCTTTCATGTACAACAAATCCAATGATTTGTCTTCCTTCAATTTCTAATTGTTTAAGAATCTTTAGAATTTGATGATTTTGTTTGTTTTCTCCATACTTATTATAAAGGTTCGAACTTCCAAGACATCACTTCTCTTCACTGGAATCAACTCACTGTCTATGCAGTCAATACAAGTCCAGGAACATCAACTGATGGAAGTCCTCTAAGCTAGGTTGCTTGCAAAACAGGAGCACACTCAGCTGCAACTTCATGGAAGGAGAAGGTTCTTGGTATTGCCAGTACATCTAGGAGGAGCCCACAGCTAAAAAAGGTATTATATTAATAAATCAGGATCAATAAGAAATCATTCTTTATCTCATTATTAAACTCTTCTAGGATAATTTCTTCAAGATGATGCACTTGGTTAGAGCTTTTCAAAAAGAAATTGGAGCTGAAACTAAACTTATCATTTAGACCATTCCCATTGTCATTTCTTTCTTCTCTTAATTGATCGATGCAATATCACGATTAACTTGGTGCATCTACCTCAAACATATTGTTTATTAATTTCTTTTTAAGATAATCTCTACAACTAGGTAATTCCCAATATAGTTTCCTTCCTCTCTTCGTGGTAAAAAAATTAAAATTTGATTCACACAACATAAAATTTAAATTCTTTCATGCACATCAAATCCAATGATTTGTCTTCCTTCAATTTCTAATTGTTTAAGAATCTTTACAATTTGATGATTTTGTTTGTTCTCTCCATACTTATTATAAAGGTTCCTACTTCCAAGACATCACTACTCTTCACAGGAATCAACTCACTGTCTATGCAGTCAATACAAGTCCAGGAACATCAACTGATGGAAGTCCTCTAAGCTAGGTTTCTTGCAAGACAGGAGCACACTCAGCTGCAACTTCATGGAAGGAGAAGGTTCTTGGTATTGCCAGTATATCTAGGAGGAGCCCACAGCTAAAAAAGGTATTATATTAATAAATCAGGATCAATAAGAAATCATTCTTTATCTCATTATTAAACTCTTCTAGGATAATTTCTTCAAGATGATGCACTTGGTTAGAGCTTTTCAAAAAGAAATTGGAGCTGAAACTAAACTTATCATTTAGACCATTCCCATTGTCATTTCTTTCTTCTCTTAATTGATCGATGCGATATCACTATTAACTTTGTGCATCTACATGTACCTCAAACATATTGTTTATTAATTTCTTATTAAGATAATCTCTACAACTAGGTAATTCCCAATATAGTTTCCTTCCTCTCTTCGTGAGATAAAAAAATTAAAATTTGATTCACACAACATGAAATTTAAATTCTTTCATGCACATCAAATCCAATGATTTGTCTTCCTTCAATTTCTAATTGTTTAAGAATCTTTAGAATTTGATGATTTTGTTTGTTTTCTCCATACTTATTATAAAGGTTCGAACTTCCAAGACATCACTTCTCTTCACTGGAATCAACTCACTGTCTATGCAGTCAATACAAGTCCAGGAACATCAACTGATGGAAGTCCTCTAAGCTAGGTTTCTTGCAAGACAGGAGCACACTCAGCTGCAACTTCATTGAAGGAGAAGGTTCTTGGTATTGCCAGTACATCACCAAGCCCACAGCTAAAAAAGGTATTATATTAATAAATCAGGATCAATAAGAAGTCATTCTTTATCTCATTGTTAAACTCTTCTAGGATAATTTCTTCAAGATGATGCACTTGGTTTGAGCTTTTCAAAAAGAAGTTGGAGATAAAACTTAACTTATCATTTAGACGATTCCCATTGTCATTTCTTTCTTCTCTTAATTGATCGATGCGATATCACTATTAACTTTGTGCATCTACCTCAAACATATTGTTTATTAATTTCTTATTAAGATAATCTGTACAACTCGGTAATTTCCAATCTAGTTTCCTTCCTCTCTTCGTGAAATACAAAATTAAAATTTGATTGACATAACATAAAATTTAGATTCTTTCATGTACAACAAATCCAATGATTTGTCTTCCTTCAATTTCTAATTGTTTAAGAATCTTTAGAATTTGATGATTTTGTTTGTTTTCTCCATACTTATTATAAAGGTTCGAACTTCCAAGACATCACTTCTCTTCACTGGAATCAACTCACTGTCTATGCAGTCAATACAAGTCCAGGAACATCAACTGATGGAAGTCCTCTAAGCTAGGTTTCTTGCAAGACAGGAGCACACTCAGCTGCAACTTCATGGAAGGAGAAGGTTCTTGGTATTGCCAGTACATCTAGGAGGAGCCCACAGCTAAAAAAGGTATTATATTAATAAATCAGGATCAATAAGAAATCATTCTTTATCTCATTGTTAAACTCTTCTAGGATAATTTCTTCAAGATGATGCACTTGGTTTGAGCTTTTCAAAAAGAAGTTGGAGATGAAACTTAACTTATCATTTAGACGATTCCCATTGTCATTTCTTTCTTCTCTTAATTGTTCAATGCAAGATCACGATTAACTTGGTGCATCTACCTCAAACATATTGTTTATTAATTTCTTATTAAGATAATCTCTACAACTAGGTATTTCCCAATCTAGTTTCCTTCCTCTCTTCGTGAAATACAAAATTAAAATTTGATTGACATAACATAAAATTTAGATTCTTTCATGTACAACAAATCCAATGATTTGTCTTCCTTCAATTTCTAATTTTTTACGAATCTTATGAATTTGATGATTTTGTTCGTTCTCTCCATACTTATTATAAAGGTTCCTACTTCCAAGACATCACTACTCTTTACAGGAATCAACTCACTGTCTATGCAGTCAATACAAGTCCAGGAACATCAACTGATGGAAGTCCTCTAAGCTAGGTTGCTTGAAAGACAGGAGCACACTCAGCTGCAACTTCATAATGGAGAAGGTTTTTGGTATTGCCAGTACATCTAGGAGGAGCCCACAGCTAAAAAGGTATTATATTAATAAATCAGGATCAATAAGAAATCTCATTGTTAAACTCTTCTAGGATAATTTCTTCAAGATGATGCAATTGGTTTGAGCTTTTATTGGCATCATGTCAATTGATAGGTTATGATACTGATTTGTGATGTATAATGAATTTATGTTTGAAATACACTGAGCACATATTGTGAAATGAAAAAAAAAAATCAATACATGTAAAGAGATCTTCAAATTCTGTCAACTTCGGAAATAATATGTCCATAAATGTGTATATTAATTTAATACATCAAAACCAATGTAAACTTAAAGAAACTAATGATTGAAAATGAGTATTGTCTACTTATATTTAAACTGACATTAGATACATTCTGGATACTTTGACAGTTTTATTTTTTAATCAAACATTACCTAAAATATAGCAATACAATTCCAAAAATACCAGTGAAATAACTAGTGATACCTGTACCCCCCAAATAAATATTTACCATTGCCTCAAATTAATTTCAAAACTAGATTTTTTTCTTGAAGGGAAAGGTTTAACTGTTCTTAATAAGTTATTTGTTGAAATAGTTTTCTGCTTCATTAAAAAAACTATTTTTAGAATGCACATGTACATGTACACAAAAAACTTGTTCAGATGAAGAAAAAAAAAATAGAAAATAAGATTCAATATTTTAATATTATTTCTCTTCCTTCTCTTTACAGCTTTCAAAATGAAGAGGCTCGTCACTACAGAAGCACTCTTTAACTTATTGAAGGAATGGCCTAATATTGACCAATTAGACACCACTGGTTACAGACCTCCATTATGTGCTTGGACAGAACTAGCAACATCTCTGAGGTTAAAGAACAGCATTGGCAATAGAAAGTGGTTATATAACCAATGGAAGAAGAATGCAGAGAGGCTTAGAGATAGAGTATTAGAAGCAAGGAAACTATATTGTGTATGCAGAACAAGAAATGATGAAACAAAACCTATGCTTGCATGTGACAAATGTGAAGAATGGTTTCATCATAAATGTATTGGGATGAGAAACTCTCCCAGCATAAAGAAGATTTACTTCTTATGCCCAAACTGTACCAAAACTTCAAAGAAGCCATGTTCCACTAATGACTTGAGCCAAGGTGCAAATTCTGCATTCAGTTTTGAGCCACAGGACAATGCCAAGGTGCCAGCTCCAGCCGATAGAGATTTAATTCAGGATGATTCCCATGCCAACAGCTCAATAGCTGATCCAAGCCTTGTTGACATTTCTCAAACGGATTGCTCAGGTCAAGCAAATTCAGAAGATGATGACATACATGTATTCAAAGGCGGAGCATCTGTGGGAAAGCCATCAACAACCAAAGACCCATCTGATAATGATCAAAGTATACATAATGGAGCAATCCCGGATGGCGACTCCAACAATGAGAGCACATCAGACAACTCAGAAGATGATGATCGCTCCAAAGGCAAGGGAGTACATGTACCTCGAACAACCACAGAACCTGATAATGATCAAAGTATACATGATGGAGCAAAACCGGATGACGACTTCAACAATGAGAGCACAACAGACAACTCAGAAGATGAAGATCGCTCCAAAGGCAAGGGAGTACATGTACCTCAAACAACAACAGAACCTGATAATGATCAAAGTATACATAATGGAGCAATCCCGGATGACGACTCCAACAATGAGAGCACATCAGACAGCTCAGAAGATGATGATCGCTCCAAAGGCAAGGGAGTACATGTACCTCGAACAACCACAGAACCTGATAATGATCAAAGTATACATGATGGAGCAATCTCGGATGATGCCTGCAACAATGTGAGCACATCTGACAACTCAGAAGATGAAGATCGCTCCAAAGGCAAGGGAGTACATGAACCTTCAACACACACAGAACCTGATGATGAAGCAATCCTGGTTGAAACATCCTCCAATGATAGTACATCAGAATCCAACACAGAAAATGAAGACATTTTTGTAGATGGAACTCACTCAGAATTTTTTTGTATAACATTTATCTTTGTTTCATACTTGAGCAGTACTATTTGCGATTATCATTTTTGTACTGTTTCGCTCCTTGTGTGAAATATTTAGGGGAGGCTGAAATCTTCATTTCTTTCGTGCATGGTACTCATATCAATAGATTTTACAGCTCTCGATCTGTACCTTAATTTTGGATATGCCACTTTACATTTTATATGTGGCGCTTGATCTGCCTCATTTGTATACTTTCCTCATTCAGAGGGTTGAATGAGCTGTGCCTGTGTGTTATTTATTTCCCATAAAATGAAACCTTGTATGTACACCTTTACGATGTAAAGAAAAGAGAGTTATTCATATTAGTGATGTTCTTGGGTCATATTGGTCAGATGAAGATCTATGCCCATGTGTTATTTTCCACGAGGGATACCTTGTATGTATAATGTAGGGTAGCTGGAAACCCTGTATTTTCTGGGGATGTGTTCAAGCGTTTTTGGAAGTGAACTGTACCGTACCTGCTCCAATGACAATGCATACCTTGCCAGTTTTTTTTTTTTTCCAAGCGTTCAGGCGCTTATGTTGGAATCTCATTCCCATTTTCTGTGTTAATTTCAGGATATGTGTACAACAGCAATTTTCAATTTGGCGCGCTTGATCACTTCCGGTACGTTACAAAGGAAAATATTACATACAGCAAAAGAGAGTTATTTTTATACATTTACATAATGTCTGTTCTCAGGTTATATTGGTCAGATGAAGATCTAGCTATGCCCATGTATTATTTCCTACCAGGGATACCTTGTATGTATAATTTTGGGTAGCTGAAAACATGCACCTCTACCATGTAAGAGAGTTTATTTTGTATACATTTATATCTCACATGACGAACTTAGAAAAGCCTTCTATGCTCATTAATGGATATGATTTGTGATCGAGAGTTATTATTGTTATATTATACAGTACTGCAGGGCAGCTGAAGTCCCTTTAGACATGTACCATCCTATCATGGAGAGTTTATTGCTATGCATTTATTTTCATATGACGTGCTTATATCTGTATACTATATAAACCCCGTTGAAAGAATACATGGTTATATAACCGCAAACCTCGCTCAATTATGTATAAGCCTGATTTGTATCAGTTCATTATGATCACATGATATGTGCCTATTTTTGTACATGTATATTTGCTTATTTAAGGGTATGTTTATGCTCAACTTTTTCTGGCCAGAATAATGCATTTCTTACGCGTTTAGTTCAAAATACGGTTGCGTCCTTTCTCATTTTTGTAGAATCACCGAAAAACGGCTATCATAAACTCACAAAAAGGTGCGTTTTGGATCGGTGATTCTGCAAAGAGACGGTTTATGGGGAAGCGAATCCAGCTGCAGAGCCAGAATCATGCCTGGAGGAGCCAGAGAAGTGAGCATAAACAGTACACCGTGGAACTGCAATTACGATGAGCGTTTCAATCGCTCATTCTGCCATCAAAATTGAGCATAAACGTACCCTAAATGAAACCAAAGATCTATAAGAAAGTTCATGTCACTTCATCTGCATTTCAAAGGCAGATTGGGGGGGGGGGGTGGTTGAGGGAATGGATAAAGCACCTGCGGCTTCCCCTGCTGGTATTACAACATTTAATTTGTGTTCAGCACCGAGTAGGAATTGCTCAGTGTGTTGTAGGGTCTGGTCTAGCTACCATAAAGAGAACTGAGAAACTGGAGACGCTCCTTTATTTTCAGTTTCTGTCCTCCATTACCATTTGGTTATCGACTAAAATCTATGTTTCTGTATAAAAACATTAATTGACCCGAGGTAAATGTACACATATGAGGGTTCAGTACCTTGATATTTCCATTTTGTGCTTTTGGTGAGCTCCACTCTCTGTATAATACGTGTATACTATATCTCCCTGAGCAGTGGTGTAGCGACATGGGGACACAGTGTCTCCCAAGCAAATGGTGGTAAAAAGACAAAACGAAAGGGAGAGGGGAAAGGGAGGTGAGAAAAAATATGATTATTCATTTAACATCACCCCCCTAATCACATCTTGTGAATTCATATTCAATCCACCTATTAAAACAAGTGCCACCCTCCCCCATAATACCAGTGCCCCCTGAAAACAGCTGGGTCAATGCTACACCACTGTCTCTACCTCAAGTCAAACTATATGATCCTTAGGCAAATGAAAATGGTACAAAAGATTACATGATAACTCTGTCATTTCACCAAACTGACTCAAAATGAAACGATTCTTGGCAAATTTGTCTGTCTGTCATTGATTTCATCAGTGTGACTTGGGTATTATGCACCACCATTGCATGAGTCTAAGGAGATGATATATAGCCAAAGACTGGAGTGTTAAAATGTAACCAGGCTTGCTCTTATACAGAAAACAAGTTTGAGTCAAGGGTGCTATGTTAGGCCATTTACTTGACTTCTATTGTTGAGAAAATGGACTGCCCATTATCAGTGTTCAAACTTTGTAAGTTGTAATTCTGTAATATTCTGAGTGACAGACTTCAAACTTGTCAGTAACGTGGCTCACAAAGCAGCAATATGTAAACAGGTTCAGACTTTTGTAATTAAATTCCTAAAGCAGGTGGATGCAATTATTTGTGACTATCAGGCCTTTGATAGGAAAGGGGTCTGCATTTGTGAACTGCTTTATACATTTAAGTCAAACTTCATACTGTATACATGTATGGGTAGCGTTTCACAAAGCCGTCTTAAGTACAAGTTCGCTGACAACTTATTGAAATGTATTCAATTTAAAGCATGCAATGTGACTTGTATCAAATGTGTACATATATTGGTACTCTTGATTATCCAAAAATGTTGATTGATTAACTGGTCTAGACTTCAGTCATGGTACAATTAAATTTCACTAAGTGCTCTCCATTTTTTTTGTCCAGCACTGATTAGGAAATTTGAAGTGTGTTGTAGCTATGGTCTGGTCTACCATAAAAAGCAATGAGAAACTGGAGTTGCTCATTCATTTTCAGTTTCTGTCTTCCGTTGTCACTTGGTTATCAACTGAAATCTATATTTCAGTTTAAAAGCATTAAATGACCTGAGGTAAATGTTCACATATGATGGTCTAGTACTTTAATAGGTGTTTCTATGTTTTGCTCTTGGTGAGCTCCACCCTGTATACCTGTATACTACATTCCCTGAGCAGTGGCATAGCTACAAAGGGACACAATGTACGTCTCCCAATCAAATGATGGAAAACAAGACAAAATGGAAGAGGAAAAAAGACATAAGTAAAGGGAGATGGAAAAGGGAGGTTAAAACAAAAATGATATTAATCCCTTAATTAATATCATCCCCTAAATCTGAGATCTTACAAATTCACATTCAAATCACCTATTAATACAGGTTCCGCCCTCCTCCAAAATAACAGTGACCCCTAAATTGGTGGACCAATGCTACACCACTGTCTCTACCTCAAGTCAAACTGTTTAATCCTTAGGCAAATGAAAATGCTACATAAAAGCTGTTATTAAATGCTATACCTCTGTCATTTCACAAAACTGACTCAAAACGAAACGATTCTTGGCAAATTCGTCTGTCATTGGTCTATCATGAGTGTGACTGAGGTATACATGTTACATCAGCTTACTTCAAATCATCAAGTCCGGTTGGGTGGTCGCTTTACACGATCTTTTGTGAAACTAAAACAGAAGATCATCCAACCTTTCGTAGATTTGCCTTAGGGTTTTCACGAGGTGTCTGGCAAATTGGACCAGACTATTTGAAGATGAGAGTGGTTTATTTTGTAATCATATTACTCCTGACATTTCGTGAATAAAGGGGCATGTTTTCACAAAAGGTCTGGTAACGCTGCCACAATGACCCAATGATTAGAAGTAAGCATGTTACATTAACCCTATGTTCTAAGGCAGTGTATGAGCCTGTGTACTATGAGCCTAAGGAAATGATAGCCAAAGACTCGAGTGTTAAAATGTAACCAGGCTTGCTATTTAAGAGAAAACAAGTTTGGATGAGGGGTGCTATGGTAGGCCATTTACTTGACTTTATTATTGAGAAAATGGACTGCCCGTTATCAGTGTTCAAACTTCGTAAATTGTGGTACATAAGTCTTACAATGAAAGATAAATAGCATCAATGTCTGAGCTGTACAGTCTTTATGATATATATGCACAACAGAATCTAAAAAGGCCAATATATGGATATAATTACTACTTGGCATATAATTTAGGCACCACAGTTTGGCAGAAATAAATGGTTTCACAATATGGCTGATGTCAGCACCACTTCATTGGGGAAATAGTCTGCATGGCAGATGTCAGCACCAGTGCACAGGATAAATGGGCCCCACTACGTGGCGGATATATGTACCACTCCGTAGCAAAAAGGGTACCACTATGTGGCGGATATATGTACCGTTACCTAGCAGATACATGCACAACTGCAAGGCTGATGAAAGTATAGCTGACAATGGGTCAGCCTATGTTGTGGATATAAGCACCACTACATAGCAGAAATAAGTCATTACAGACTGACTACAGGCATCACTGACATAGCAGATAAAAGGCTAATAGCATAGATACAATAGACTACAATGGTCTATCTTCAAACAAGGCTGTTTCAGCCCTAAACTATGCAATTAGGTTATAATTGTAACCTAATTAAAATCAAAATGATATTGGAGGACCACTCCATAGCAGACATGAGCCATATACAAGAAGCCATTAAAGAGTTGGAATTATAACATCATTCTAAACAAATTGAGAAAAAGAAACACCATATAGACTGTGCAAGCCTTTGACTGATTGATGCTCTGGTGCCATGAACCTTCACGCTCATAAACTCAGCATGATTTAGAAATTATAATCTTTATAGTCTTTGTTATCATTTCCCAGGCTCATAGACATAGCAAAGTTATTGTTGGAACATGGGGATTAAAAGTTTAACTTCATATATACCAGTATCGATGATGAAAGGCATTTACATGAACTTGTAACATCAGTATTTTCAGTTATTTTTGTATGTTATGTATGTATTTTGTCTCTTTACATGTATGTTATGTATGTATTTTGTCTCTTTACGTGTATGTTTATATTGCATTACTTGTAACATTATATTAAAAAGTCTGTCAGCCTAACAAAATTCTCTCTAATGAGGTCATATGCTGACGATGGTGGTCCAGATTTAAATGCCGGCCATGCCAAAACACTTATTTGAAAAACTGATAGATTAGCTTTATATCTACCGTAAGTGAAAATAATAATGTGACAGTTCTGTAAGACAGCAATCTTAATTGTAAACACAAAGTGCTACATGTCCATACGAGAAATGTTAAATAAATGAAAAATGAAAATAAATTGCAGTGAAGACTGAATACAAAATAAGTGTCTTCATAATTGCTTTGTTTTGTTTTGTGTTTTGTTTTGTTGCTTTAATTGTTTCCCTATTTCAAATTTGGTGTGATGTTCTTACCTTCTTCTCCTCTGCTTTTCTCTCTGACATGTCCTTGGTAAATGTGCTTTTCTTGAACCACTTATTGGAGCTAGCTTGCTGTCCTCACATTGTCAGATGTTTCCTTGTGACATGAGCTGAACGGGGATGATGAGTCTGTTTGGCTGGTGGGCTTCTCTTGAATGTTGTTTGCTTGTGAGATGAGCTGAACGGGGATGATGAGTCTGTTTGGCTGGTGGGCTTCTCTTGAATGTTGTTTGCTTGTGAGATGAGCTGAACGGGGATGATGAGTCTGTTTGGCTGGTGGGCTTCTCTTGAATGTTGTTTGCTTGTGACATGAGCTGAACGGGGATGATGAGTCTGTTTGGCTGGCGGGCTTCTCTTGAATGTTGTTTGCTCGTGAGATGAGCTGAACAGGGATGATGAGTCTGTTTGGCTGGCGGGCTTCTCTTGAATGTTGTTTGCTTGTGAGATGAGCTGAACGGGGATGATGAGTCTGTTTGGCTGGCGGGCTTCTCTTGAATGTTTGCTTGTGAGATGAGCTGAACGGGGATGATGAGTCTGTTTGGCTGGCGGGCTTGTCTTGAATGTTGTTTGCTTGTGACATGAGCTGAACGGGAATGATGAGTTTGTTTGGCTGGTGGGCTTCTCTTGAATGTTTGCTTGTGACATGAGCTGAACGGGGATGATGAGTCTGTTTGGCTGGCGGGCTTCTCTTGAATGTTGTTTGCTTGTGACATGAGCTGAACGGGGATGATGAGTCTGTTTGGCTGGTGGGCTTCCCTATGAATGTTGTTTCCTTGTGACATGAGCTGAACGAGGGTGATGAGTCTGTTTGGCTGGCGGGCTTCTCTTGAATGTTGTTTGCTTGTGAGATGAGCTGAACGGGGATGATGAGTCTGTTTGGCTGGCGGGCTTCTCTTGAATGTCGTTTGCTTGTGAGATGAGCTGAACAGGGATGATGAGTCTGTTTGGCTGGCAGGCTTCTCTTTAATGTTGTTTGCTTGTGAGATGAACTTCCTCAGTAAGGAGGAAGTGGTTATCTGCAAGTAGATGTCCAGGTAGATGAATAGACATCTTCAAATAAAATTGGTGGGTACCCATTGATGAAAGAGAGGTGGAGACAGTAGGAGAAAGATGGAGAAAGATGGAGCAAGGTAGAGAGAATGAGAGAGAGAGAGAGATAAAGATAGAGAGACAGACAAACAGAGAGAGGGAGAGAGGAGAGAGAGAGAGAGAGAGGGAGAGAGAGAGAGATAAAGATAGAGAGACAGACAAACAGAGAGAGGGAGAGAGAGAGATAAAGATAGAGAGACAGACAGAGAGAGGGAGAGAGGGAGAGAGAGAGAGATGGGTAATAGGGAGATGAATGACAGCCTATAATGATTATAAAAACTGTGACTTTGTAGGTCTTTATTTTGGTACATCCACCAGCCAAGCTAGCAAGCATGCACGTACGGGGGGGGGGGGGGGGGGGGGGGGGGGTGTTTTTGGGGATAAATGCCCCCCCCCCCCCCCCCCCTAAGAGAGAGAGAGAGAGAAATTCCTGGAATTTCCGCTGAACAAATTAAAATGTAAAAATAAAATTAAAAAATCACATTTTTAAAAGAATTAGCATTGATTGGATAAGAATTAGTTCCAAAGGATACCTGAATAATCCAATTAGCGTGGTTATTAGTATTAAAAAAAGAAAACAAAAATAAATTATTTAATGACGCAAAGTTATTCTGCGTTTGCACATACCGATGTGGGTTCAAAGCGCCATGAGCACCGAAAGGTGGACCTGTGCGCTATACAAGTAGCCACTATTATTATTATTATTAAGACTCTTCTCAAATAAGCACTTACCTTCGATAACGACGCACTTTCTCACCTAGCCTTCCTGCTATTCCTGAGGGACTCTTTCTATTCCTCAGCTATGCTTCAATAGGTCCCTCATATTCTACTTAATCTATATGAATTGAGAATCATTGAGATGTGGTTTTTTATACTATAGTTGTATCGTATAATTTTTTATTTCATATGTATGTCTATATTTTCTGTAAAATGTGGACCAATAAAACTTGAAACTTGAAATGTCAAGAAGTGCAAACCATTGTATGTTGTCAATAATTAGATCATCAGAATATACTGAAGTTGTGCAAAATACAAACTTTCTTATTGGCAATGATTCTACTTCCATTTTATGCAATATACTTACAGTGTTGGGTGCAGTATTGAATAACATACTGCCTCGTAGCATCACGGCTACACTGCAGCCCTTTAAGGGTCAAAGCCTGACACCTCGGCCGCTCGGGTGTTTTTGGGGATAAATGCCCCCCCCCCCCCCCCTAAGAGAGAGAGAGAGAGAAATTCCTGGAATTTCCGCTGAACAAATTAAAATGTAAAAATAAAATTAAAAAATCACATTTTTAAAAGAATTAGCATTGATTGGATAAGAATTAGTTCCAAAGGATACCTGAATAATCCAATTAGCGTGGTTATTAGTATTAAAAAAAGAAAACAAAAATAAATTATTTAATGACGCAAAGTTATTCTGCGTTTGCACATACCGATGTGGGTTCAAAGCGCCATGAGCACCGAAAGGTGGACCTGTGCGCTATACAAGTAGCCACTATTATTATTATTATTAAGACTCTTCTCAAATAAGCACTTACCTTCGATAACGACGCACTTTCTCACCTAGCCTTCCTGCTATTCCTGAGGGACTCTTTCTATTCCTCAGCTATGCTTCAATAGGTCCCTCATATTCTACTTAATCTATATGAATTGAGAATCATTGAGATGTGGTTTTTTATACTATAGTTGTATCGTATAATTTTTTATTTCATATGTATGTCTATATTTTCTGTAAAATGTGGACCAATAAAACTTGAAACTTGAAATGTCAAGAAGTGCAAACCATTGTATGTTGTCAATAATTAGATCATCAGAATATACTGAAGTTGTGCAAAATACAAACTTTCTTATTGGCAATGATTCTACTTCCATTTTATGCAATATACTTACAGTGTTGGGTGCAGTATTGAATAACATACTGCCTCGTAGCATCACGGCTACACTGCAGCCCTTTAAGGGTCAAAGCCTGACACCTCGGCCGCCTTCTGTTTACCATTTTGAGTATCCTAGTATGATGAAAATACATGTAAGATATAGTTAATACACTTAATATACTTACTTGAATGATCAAGAAAAAGGAATGATTAAAATATTTCAGTTATATTTCAGTAATCTGTTCACAATAATAACATGAAATATCGAAATACAAATATAAGTTATGGAATGCACATTATTATCAAAGTGTGCCTATACAAAAATCATATGATATCTTTCTAGTAAATGTAATATATGGAATTGCTCTTTAATAATTCTTTGAACAATTTTTAATTAGTTTGCTAAATGGTTGTTTGGTATATGTTCATTTTGTAATCACTGCATTGGTAATTCATATTCCTGTGATCTCTTGACTTATGCATCAAGAAATAATTGACACTCTGTTCCTAAAATCTAAATGATGTACATAAAAGAAACCAAATGAGGTGATAGTGCATTTGCAGCCAATATATTTCATGTCTGTGAAATTATTAAAGGAATAGTTGAGTGTTGGTCAATACTCACATTAGCGAACGAAACTATGATCTAAACATAAAAAACATACAATAAATGTCTAAGAATGCATCATTGAAGATATAAATCCGAAATATTACATTAGAGTGAATTTATATGCAAAAAACCTGTTCGACTGCAAATGATTTTATTTATCAAAAATTTTACTTTCGAGGCGTGTTCAGTGTAATTGTATAGCGCCACCTCTCGGTCAAGCGGCAGCACACCGTGAATTTTCGCCAAGACGACGATCGGATATGGGCGTGCAAGTAATATCCGAACCATGTCTATAGCGCGCTGACTGATTTATATTGTACACATTATGGTATGCGAGGCCTGGTAGCGCTATTGTTTTTGAGCGCGATATGCGAATACTGTATGTGTATGTAGTGCGAGTACGCTCGACCTAGTAGTAGTGTATGTGTATGTATTGTACGTCGTATGACCCAGTTGATTACTTCTACAGTGTAAAGAAAGTGGCTTACTCTATCTATCAACCAATATGTGAGACAACGCAAGGGCAATTTTGTATTTCGTTTGTAGGAACAAAGCTGTGGAATGATCTCCCAGATGAAATTAGATTAAAAACATCGAGGTTATCTGTCCACCTACCGTCTATGTAAATGACGTGGGCCTTCGTTTTTCCTTTTATATTACTTGTCTTCCTTTTATAATATGTGAAGAGTTTCATTCCAAAAGGAGCCAAATCCACTTTGGGTACTTCTGAGTAAATTGCCTTTTTTATTTCTCCACTTTCCCTTTAGCCATGTATACCTTCATGTTGTTATATATGTTAAAGGTGTCACCCTGCATGGACCTGATTATCTGCCAATAATGATAAGAAAAAATCTTCCCTTCGGCTTTTCTGATGTTTACTAAATTTTTTGATTTTTTATTTTCGTGGATTTAGCTCCTTTTGGAATGAAACATGTTATTGTACCTAAAAAATAAAAAATAAATCATATTTTCTCAATAAAGTCACTGAAATTTTATTCAAATTTAGCAGCAAACCTTTCCTTTTAAATAATAATAGTGAAATCACACATAAATATAACCTTTCGAAAAGAAAGTAAACAACATTATTACAGTTTCATTCCAAAAGGAGCTAAATCCATTCAATTCCAAAAGAAGCTAAATCCATGTTTCATTCAAAAAGGAATTACTAAATCCACATTTTTTTTTGGCACATATCGCACGACAACCAAATGCCCTAAGATGTTGATACCCACTTTGATAGAAAAATAAGGTTTTACAAAATGGAAAAATACTAGAAGAGAAAAGGTAAGAAAGAGTAAAGACGGATTGAGGACGGTAAACCCCAAACAAGAGACTCAAAAGATCTACCCCAGAATCCTCTCACCGGCACCAGAGTTGCCTAGGCCAATGATGGCCGAGAAGATTGCGCAATGTACCGCGCCGGTCTGGCAGGAAGGGGTTTTCATGGACCAGTAGATCTGAGATTATATTATCCAAAAAAAAGAGATGAATATGAATTGACAAATAGTACCAAAAATAGAAGAAAAAAAAAAAATAAAGTGAAAGGCGTAAATATTCTAAAAAAGAATGAAACGCCGATAATACCAAACAACAACAACAACACAAAATCTAAAAATTTGATAGAAATCAGAAATAACTGGTGGATTTTTTGTCTTATCATATGTTATAGGTCCAGAGCGACACCTTTAACATATATAACAACATGAAGGTACATGGCTAAAGGGAAAGTGGAGAAATAAAAAGAAATAAATTTAAAAAAATATTAAAAATTGTTGTATCAGTATACTATAATGAATAACAGTAGTGAATTAATTTAACATCTTACTTGATTCATACTTGTCCATAATGCAGTGTTTTTCAGTATTCTTATTTTGGTACTGCATGCAATTGTAAAGTTTAAAAAAAAAAGTGATTGTAACTTCTTGTAAATAAGTTGTGTTCTACAGTGCCTGTGTATTGCATGACCTACGTCAGTACGTGATAACTTGTAAATGTGTAAAGACATAAGATTTTAATATAATTATAGTAATGCTAAAATGAAGATACATAACATATTTTTATGGTGTACATTGAAAGCTTTATTCGGCCATAACTAACAGTTAAATTTACACAACATTATTGAGATGAATACAAATTATAATTGCTGTACTGAAGGCAATATTTAAACGTGATGTTGATTTCAACCATTGCATACAAACAGATCATGTGTATTAAAAAAGGCACATTTTTATTTAGCATCTATCGCTATGACAACTTTAACCGTCGTCATTAAGAAGGAGCAATATACTTTATTTGTATACCACCATGTCTTGTTACTTATTAGTTACTGCTTATTTATATACATCTTATCTTGTGTCTTTCATAAAAACTTGACATACTCTATAGGCAATGTGTAGATAAGTTTACCAAAGAAAAGTATCTATAACAGTAATGTTTCTACGCGCTTGACAAATATACTATTACCCCGGTCATTTGATTCAGTGCTTGCCCGCACACAATGTTTTGACTAGTACGTGATCATACAAATTTTGCCGAGAAACTGCCTACTAATTGATATATTTGGTAAATTATTATATCTATTTGGACTTGATAGATATAACGCATGTGTCGCGCACTTGTGCGTAGTCCCATATACATCTTTCTGTGTACAGTGCTTGTAACTTTACCAAGACTGGGCCAATTTTTTTATCATTTCGATGATTCTAGAACCTTGCAGTACACACCAAGACTTATATGCTAGATGATCAACCTTTTCTGATCGATTCCACAACAATCCTTTCACAATGCAGTCGCATGACCATAACTGGTTTTATCTTTTAAGTTTCACATCTTACTTTATATATAAATGCTTTAAAAATTGTCTGAGTGATTCTTTTCCTTAATGTGTACGAGTATACATGTATACATACTCCATATCGATCTCAAATCCTGAATCATATCAGTTTCAGCACAAAATTAAGTATAGTTAGGTACATATATGTCTTTCATCTTCCCTAATGCTCGACTATGAATATCACCTCAAGTGATTAACATCCAACATAAGGTTTTTCAAAAAAATAGCACAGACATTTCAAAACTGGTCATGTCCTATACGCACGCAAAAGACAATTCTGCGTTGTGTGTACTGAGTTTCATATGAATCGATCAAACTACTTCCAATAGTTTGCTCACATACTTATTTTACACACTGCACATGCATTGAGTTTTATACTGTTATTATAATGCCTCATCAAAGATACCAAAACTATAAAATTGCTAAAACTTGGAAAGAATATGCTCCACAAGATTATTAAAACAAAATTGTATTCTTTGTGCAAAGCTTGGTTACCATGGAGGTACCTTAACAGACAGACACAACAAATGTGTCTTGCACACCCTCGGGTCAATCGGTATACCAAGTTTTATTACAATTTGCAAAAAAATTGGAAAAAATTTGACCCAGTTTTTTACAATAGACCAACAGAAAGACTCGCCTGCCCAACTGTATCCTTATTCCTTTATACACCCTTTCAAACTACAAAGTAGTTACAGGCAGCATATCTCTTGATGGTATAACCTTGAACCGCAATACTTTGGCGTTGAGCTGATTCACGTTCATTGATTCAAATGATGCATGAAACCAACTGTTTTGCTGTCTTGTGATCATTTCTCTTTTTCGCTTGCATTATTTTAGTCACATTGATTGCATTAAACAAAAAATGAAGACTATTTACAATAAGATATTCTACAAATCTTTCTTCTGTCCATGTTGATTTTCAACAGGTTCCGAAGTATAGTCTTTTTCATGATCGACTGTCACCTCAGTTACATGCACAGTCACTAAAACCAAACACATTGTTGACTCATGGTTTGACCTCTTGGCTGTAAATTTTATAATTACTACCGTAACTTCTTCAAGGAATATAGGTTGCCAAATAGATACAAATTGAAATATCCACCATTTCCACATGAGCAAGCACTGATTTTATCACAAATTATGAATTGTATAAATCACATAGAGCTTTTATACACTGATGTCACAATTTGTCTTTTATATTCCTACATTTCTTCCATTTGTAAACTTGCCAACCTCTTATTGTAATACAATATACAAGTGCCAAGCATGGTGGCTAATCTAGCAACAATAACAATTTATTTCTGGTACATGTATATCATGTGTTATGTGATTTTTTTTCTCCAGATAACCACATCCCCATGATCCCCAGGGACACTCTAGTATCAAGTTTGGTGGTATTTTGTCAAAGGGTCTCTGACATATCAAGAATACATGCTCGTAATGCTAAGCCATGCAATCTTTCACCTCCGGACCACAAAATCATTAGCAACCAAATGAGTCCAAAATGTTAAGTTCCAACTAATCCTCAAGATAGCCTAAAAACATGCCACATGGACAAATTAAATCGAGGCGATTAAGAGTCTTGCATGCAATCATGCAACAATGAACCTCATTTGACCTTTGACCTACTTATGTGACCTTCAACTCCAGAATATCATGGAGGCCAATAAAGGGCATCTACCAATC